TTGTGTTTTTGAGAAAGAAACGTTTATGCGTGCATAGTGAAAACTGAAACAAGTCACTAAAACAAGGCTGTGAAACACACACAGAACATTTGTTCACAAGACTTTTAAGAACTGGTTCTTGTAGCCTAGTATTTTTGCTTCAAAATAATGTAAAAATCATCTTATTTACTTGCTCACAGAAAAAATATATTGAATAAATTTTATTAAGTCACTTTTTGAGTAAAAATGGTCTATGCGAGAAGGCATGAACTATCATTAATAATGCAGTAATTCACACCTGAGAAGACAAAGAGCTGCATAATGAGCCATCAGACAGGTATGTGACTAAGAGGGGAGAGTTTCAAGAACAAGTCTGAGGAAAAGATAAGTTTATATATTTTTTGCAGTTTATTTAAAATATATATAACTATTACACAAAATAACTCAAGATACACTTGTATGAGAAAGTAAAAATGGATTGGGGATGGGATGGTTTTTGCTGTCTTAAATTAAAGTTTTCAGCACCTAACTCAACTAGAGGCATGGTGGGTCTCTGGAATGACTAAGTCAAATTGGGGGATGGTGGGTCTTTCTTGCTGTCCGGAGCGAATTGTTTTCAGCGTTCAACTCTCAACTAGAGGGATGGTGGGTCTCTGGAATGACTAAGTCAGTGTGGGGGATGGTGAGTCTTTCTGGTGGGAACGACGTAAAGATGCTACCCACCGGAGTTGTTTAGACCCAGGCCGTAAAAACATGAGGCCATGCCCGACAGGGCCACCTTTCCCGGTCTACCTGTCAAAACGCCCCACACCTGGATGTGCGTGCTGCCACCAATTATCACTGACTTGCCATCTCATTTTCGGCAAAAGGCGTAAAAAAGTGGACTTAGTTTTTAGTGGGCTTGCGGTTCTGCGCGGTGGGAACGAACCAAAGGGACTTAGGCCAGGCCTAAAAATGGATTGGGATGGGATGGTTTTTGTTGTCTGGAACAACTAACTCTCACTTGGGGGATGGGGGTCTTACTTGCTGTCCGGAGCAAACTTTTCAACGTCCAACTCTCAACTAGGGGGATGGTGGGTCTATTTTTGGGGATAGTGGGTCTCTGGAATGACAAAGTCCGTTTGGGGGATGGTGGGTGTTTCTTGCTGTCCGGAGCAACTTTTCAGTGTCAAACTCTCAATTAGGGGTATGGTGGGTCTATTTTTGGAGGATAGCGGGTCTCTGGAATGACGAAGTCCGTTCGGTGGATGGTGGGTCTTTCTTGATGTGCAGAGCAACCTGAGCGTCAAACTCTCAACTAGGGGTATGGTGGGTCTCTGGAATGACAAGGTCCGTTTGTGGGATGGTGGGTCTTTCTTGCCGTCCAAGCACATTTTTAGCGTTCAACTCTCAACTACAGGGATGGTGGGTCTCTGGAATGACTACGTCCGTTTGGGGGGTGCTGGGTCTTTCTAGCGAGCACTACCAAGGTCCAGTTGGAAAATAGTCGGTCTGACTGGTGGGAACGACGTAATGATGCTCACCGTCAGTTACGATGTAAACTCAGTTACCACATAGGAATTATAAATGAACAGCACCTGTTTTGCAAACAACAGTCAGTTTACATTTTTCACAATAGCATAGCATATGCATACTTGATGAGAAAACAGAATGCAAATAACAAAGAAACTATATTTAACACTATCAACCACAAATAAGTTTACCATACTCACATGAAAAAAAAAGACTATTAGTAATTTATAGTGAATAATGTAGTTGTTTTGAATTATACTATAGTTAAGTACTTGAAATAAATTGCTTTATTAATTCAATAGTTATGTTAATATAACCACTACTTTATGTACGTTATAGGACACACTTTGTACAACAATAAAACTATAAGTGGCCGGTAAAAACATAAATCATAAGGTAAGATTAAAAGACTTACTCGACAGGAATTCTATCCTTCGCTGGGTCTAGACGCTCTTCAAAATGTATGCGTTCTTCAGAGTCGTGCTCTTCCTCTGAGGAGAAAGTAAATTCTTTGTCGCTGTCCAGTACCATCCAAAGTGCTTCTTCACCCGTGTAGCGTGCGTATCTATGATAAAGCTTGTCGCTATATGCCATGTATTAGGGAGCATGTATATTATTACCTTAAAAATGTGGTTATAATGGAGGTCAATGGGTCAAAAACAGCCAAAAACATAAGGAAAGAGTATAGGGCTGCAGGATTAATTCTATTCTTACAATAAGGATATTTGTGGCCCATGATCAATAATTAAACATCGTCACGATTTTACAGTATAAACAGCAAGCCCTTATTTTAATGGGTGGAGTTTACAGATTGTATCGCAACAAGCATGAGGTGACTGCGTCTAGATTACAAGCGTTTTTTTCAAGGAATGTAATGTTGATCAGGTAGCCTTTGCTCCTGTTCAGTCCAAACTTCCCAAGGTAACACAACAAACCTCATTAACCACCTTAAAAGCCATCGCAAAGTGGCTGTCATCAGTGGGTTAATGAGCTCAGGACAATTCTGCTTTGAGTTTTTCTATGCATTACTAACATCCCTAAACCAGACAACATTTGTTTTCTAAAATAACCAAATATTCACGAAGATTCAGGAGTTTTTTCTGACACGTTTTCCAGTCATGTAGAAAATAATAAAATTATTTAAAAGCGCATTAAAGACTAAACACATAAAATAAAACATTCGCAAAGGTGTAGCTTTAGGAAAAACAATAATTGACGAGCGCTGCTTTCAGTTTTAAAAGAATCAAGCGGATTTAAAAAATCTAATTTGCAGAAGAGAAATGACAGGAATTTTGCAAAAGGAAAAGAATAAACTTATCGAGACTGTTAAAAGTACATTCTGCTTTATATATTCTTTCAACTCCAATACAACAGCTCAGATTATGAATGACGGAGTGTAAAGCCGTCTCTCCTGCATGCCTCAGCAGTGCGTCCCGCTGTTTAAGAATGAGGAGGCAGATAGAACGCAAGGTTTAGTTTCACCTCAAGATATTAAAATTAAAACTAACATCGAACAGCTCATCACGCTCAAAAGGTTAAACTAAAACGCACAACTCTTTTTGGATGCACCAGCAAGATGCACAATGAACCACACGGCATTCTTTTAATTCGATATTCATGAAGTATGTGAACAACAGCAGATGCTTTGTCATGTTGGTCACGACACTCTGCTTTAGAACTTATTAGGCCCAATCCCAATTCTATTTTTGTACCCCTACCCCTTGACCATTACAACTGAGGGTGAAGGGGAAGGGATTCAAAATTTACCTTTAAGAATTAGGACAGCACTACAGTACCTGCACACGTCATCATATGTCATCACGATCTCCTGCTTCATATGAGATCAGACGATGGCGACTGCTGTAGTTACTCCAGTTGTGTTATTTTTAGGCATTTATCTTCAAGAAATCACTGAAGGTGTGTATTATCATAAGGATTCTAATGTGGCAATAAGATCATAACTATACAGTGCATATACTCTGTGGCCATACTCATCATGTAAACACGAAAACAACACTAACATCATAGCAGACACTGTAAAAGCTCATTCTCAGCCACTAGACTTGTCTGACAGGATATTCGAGTGTTATTGAGCGTCAGAATGTTGTGGGAATGCTGTACAGGAGTTATTATCATGGATTATAGATTGCGAAATTTATTTTTTTATTTTTTTTAAGCATGGCGGTAAAACACGAATGCAGTTATGAATATATTAAACCATGTGGCTGGTGTATTCTGGGAAATTTTCTTACCCCTTGGTTTCGATTGTGGTCCTGAAAAATCTTTGTTTGAAGGGCTTTTCACCCCTTACCTTAGTCCTACGCCTTCAAGTTAAAGAGAATTGGGACAGCCCTACCCGTTGACGTGAACGCGCAAAACGAGGGGTAGGGGTTGGGGCAGAGATGGGTAAGCTTGATCCTCGAGGGCCGGTGTCCCTGCAGAGTTTTGTTCCAACACTAGTCAAACACACCTGAACAAACTAATCAGTGTCTTCAAGATCACTTGAACTCTATAAGCAGATGTGTTGGATTAGAGTTGGAGCTAAACTGTCCCTCCAGGACCGAGTTTGCCCAACCCTGGGTTAGGGGATATTGTGATTGAGCCTTGTTGTTTTTATTACAATAATTACACTTACCTTTGCCATCGCTCTTCATCACATGTAGCCCCTCTTTTGAGCACATCTTGCGGTCAATTTAAATTATTCTAAAAATCCTGCTTATTTAAGTCATAATTTTCTGCAAGTTATTGTTATAATAGAATAAATTAAGTAGTCTACAAAGCATAAGAGTCAGCACGGGTATATAACAGGTGGTTTTACTCCTGATGAGAATATTTATTATTGTCAGACTCCACTTTCACATTAATACACCTGAATGAATCAAAACTCACAGCTAATCAGAACAGCCTGTGTGCAGCACCTGGTCAGATCATACAGAACCGTCAGTCACAATCTGAGGTGAATCTTAAATGAAGACAGACAGGACTGCCTGACCCTCTTGCGTGTGTATTTACAATTGCAACCCAACGATTTCCAACAAGCTTACTTTAATACGAAATTAAAGCCGGTAAAAAACATGAAGTACAATTGTGGTGCGACGATGATACGACTGTGTTGAATGACTGACACGAGGCGTGGCTATGCAGGACCATGATGTGTGTGTATGTGTGTGTTTGTGTTTGTGTGTGTGTATGTGTATGTGTGTGTGTGTGTGTGTGTGTGTGTGTGTGTGTGTGTGTGTGTGTGTAAACCCGCTTTCAGAAAGGAAAGACAAATCGCTCACTGCCGTGGGGCTGCTTCTGATAAAGAAAATAACTCTTAAATTAAGAGAAAGCCCAGCTGATATTGCTTTACTGATCCTGTGGGAAAGCAATAATGAACCTGTTTAAATATTTCTGCATAATGTGTCGAAAAACTACATTTTGGCAATTTTAACCCAAAATATTCAGGGCTTTGGAAAAAACATTTGGGGTTGAAGCCCCCTGATTCCTGATCAGGAATAAACACCAACCTATTTGTTGTTCAGTGTCTTCATGTTTAATTCTGCAGGGTTCTGGATCACTCATGTTCTCGCTGTCCTTCAATAAACTCTTCACTGGAGCCTGATGGGAATATCACAGTGTTTACAGCTGAACTGGAGGAGGAGGAGCTTCACTGGAGGAGGAGGAGCTTTACTGGAGGAGGAGACAATTATTGTAATTAACATTCTGTTTGCTTATATTTATATTTTAATGCCAAATCAGCAGCACTGGCTATATTCATGGCAATACTTGTATTAAATGTTCAATATATTATTGACAATCATTAAATATTCTCACACAAGTTACACATAGGTTTCTCTTCCCTGTTCAGTAAATATGTGTGTAAGTGTTGAGTGGCCGATTCTACATCTCATGTGTGCAGCGTGATCATGTCTCTGATTGCCTACAGTTATCTCTCAATACTGTAATACATTCATTATTAAGTGTTTTATACTATTATACTAATCCCACATTCTGTTTCACTGCTAAATAAAGTGTTTTCGTCTCTTCGGAGGTTTACAGAAGAATATTTTAAGTTAAAAGATCAATATTAAACAACTTAGTGAATGAATGAGATGGAGACACAAATGAAAGGTGCCCAGATACAGGGTTTCTGCAGGTTTCAGCAAGTTAAATTTAAGATGTTTAAGACCATTATGAATGAAATTTAAGACCCATAAAAGGCTAAAGGCTAATGAATTTTTCAAATGGCTCAGATGGAAAAGATTTTTATTTGCCCTTTCCAAATAGTTATTATAACTTAATAATGCAATAATACATTAATAATAAAAAATACTATATTTTAGATAAATATTTAAATATTGTGTAAAAATAAGCAAGCTCTACTTGTATCCCTGCACTTTTTCCAACATAAACTTTCTTTAAAATAAAACTGAACAAATGTTTTAGAAGTTTAAAATAACTATAATAAACTAAATATTTGCACAACAATCTGTCCAGGTCGGTGTCTTCAGCAGTAAATACATGGAGAACTTTTACACAGATGTTACTGTAAGGAAAATAATTAAACCATCATGATTAATAGAGTTTAAAATGACCTTTTTAATAAAAAGTGTAAAGTTTTATTGAGATGATTGTTGGTGATTGTTTGGGTTTTGGCCAGATTTGGTAGCAATACATGAACAAAGGAAAATTAAGACCTGTTTAAAAAAAAACATTTAGGACCTACAACACAATATTTCACTACTTTTAAGACTTTTTAAAGCCTAAAATTTTGGGTTTTTAGATATAAGACATGTTAAAACCCTGCAGAAACCCTGCAGATAACCCGTGAGTAACGCATTACAGAAGTGTTTACAGCCTAGCATCGAGCTAAAAACAAGAGACTATATTAGCATTGAGCACATATGTTAAAGCAGTTCAACCCGCAAGATAATTGCAGCAAATCTGCGAACGCTACAAAGGTCAGATATAATACACTTACTTTGAATAGACGCACAACACCCGAAACAGAAGTGGAGTTAAAGCAATTCAACAGCAAACAGCAAAGCTCTGCACTCTCCGCCTCACACTGAGCGCCGTGGGCGGGAAATTTGCCTTTACGCTGATCAACGAAATCTGATTGGCTGCCTGTATGTGCTCAGCGAAAGCCGATTGACTGCATGTAGGCGCTCAGAGAAAGCTGATTAGCTGTCTGTAGGCGCTCTGCGAAAGCTGATTGGCTGCCTGGTTGTCAATCAGTCTCGACAAAAAAAAAAAAAACAGAGGTATTTGTGTTCTTCAGTCTCTTCAGAGGAATATAAGATTGTTTCTGTGCAATCCCTGATTGTATAACACCTTCAGTCAAGTCTGGCCATAAAGTTTTTTACATTATTTTATATTTGACTGCACAAATGTTCTCATTACATGTAAAACAAAGACATTCGCTCAATTATTAATAAATCTCAGATTTCTTTACCTGTTTTTGGAATAATATATTTAAATGACAGAATGGTTTGAGTTTGGCATAAACTCCTCTTATATAATAAAGTTGGTGACGTCTCTACTCATAACTGCTCTCCACTAAATCACAAACTTGCTCAATCTAATAATATTATTTCCCCAAATGCTCTTTCTGTATTCAGTCTGTAGAAATATAAAGTCATTTGCTTTGGGACTTAATATCAAGTGTTTTGCCTTGACTTTTCCAGTTCTCCTAAAAATGCTTTTATCCAAACTTTTGTTTCCTCTAAAATTGTATTTTTAGTTACTCTTTGAAACTAGAGTCTTTTTACTGTAAATGTATTAATGTATAGCGTTTTCTCTCTACATTTGGCATCCAGAGATTTTGATGTGTAAATGTGTGAACTCTAATGATTATTGCATGGAAGACTTTTGCTTGGCGAGTCTGATATAAACTTACATAATATGCTGTAATTTAAGTCTTGTAACATGACTTTCTAATTCATAATGTCTCTTGTGTGTAAAAGTGTTTATTTCTTTGCATAATAAATATACAAGTATACCAAGATAGCAAAAATCCTTAGAACTCAGATCTGGTCCACACTTAATGCATTCAGCTGACCCACATACCACATGGTATGACGGCACATCAGCGGTCCGCTCCTGTTTGCCAGATCTGTGCCACAAGTAAGCCAAAGGAAGGCCGAATGTCAGCCATAATAAAAATTTAATAAAGCAATTATTTGCATAATAAAAATATTATACTGAGAAAACAAAATTTCTTTGAGCTCAGGGGTCCGTTCTTCGTACGTGGGCTACTTAGTTAGTTGGATTTGGTTATTGACGATTTAACACGATCCAGGATCGTTTTGCTCTTCAAAGTTAGTTGTTGTCATACCAACAGTTCTGGTAGCTCCAACCTGGTCGGGAGCAGGCACATTTCATATAAACAGCTGAGATCGGGTCAGTTCAAGCAAAGAAAGTGCTGAAAGTATGAAATTCAGAAATTTTCTTACAGTAGTACTTATATACACTTAGAAAAATAGTAAATATTTTAAACTATATATCATAAATAACTATATATTATATATGACTATATATATATATAAAGTTAAAAATATATATTAATAAAACTTAAGCAATCTGCACTCCGAAATGAAAGTACAAAGACTGCCACCTGGTGGTGCAAAGAGAAATCTTGTTCGACCTCTCAGCATGTGTCAAGACATAAAAGCTACAGATTGGGTGAGGGTACGCTGGCTACACAGAGCCAACAAACTCACGTCATGTTGGTCTTCCCCTCTCCAAGTTAATCACAGGCTGGGCCCAGCCACCTTCCTACTGAATGACGGCACTCGATGGCATGCAAGCCACCTCCGTAAAGTGCAGCAGTCTACTAATACTTAAATGGAGCATCAAAATAAAGTGTTACTGAAAAAACAGCTAAATAACTCTGAATATTTGACTCACAGACATGAGATATATCGCAATCATATCTGCATTTAGCCTTAAATCTGCACCTTTAAATGACAAATGTTCTCTGGTTTAGCAAGCTGCATGTAACGAATGTAATGCAGAATTCCTAACCCTAAAACTTAACAGTGTCAGATCATCAAACAAATGTAAACATTAGTCAAAAATTACACAATTAAACACAATGTGCAGTTTTCAAATGAAGGTTTTTATTGTTAAAAGGAAGACAAAACACTGAATTACATAGCCCTGTGTAAAAAATGTTCCCCCATTAAAACATAACATAAAAACATAGTTCTCTAGCCACACCCAGACCTGATTACTGCCACACCTGTTCACAATCAAGAAATCACCTAAATAGGACCTGTCTGACAAAGTGAAGTAGACCAAACGAGCCTCAAAAGCTAGACATCATGCCAAAATCTAAAGACATTTAAACACAAATGAGAAAGAAAATACTAGTGTCACGAGTAAAAAAAAAAAAAAAGGGGAACTGAAAAAACTAAATAAAATAGACACTCGCTTACTGGCAGTGCTTGATGCAAATACAGGGTGAGTGACAAAATAATAGGCACACAAACGATCAATACCATACTGACAAACATAAAGAGAAATGATGTGGTATAAATATGAAAAAGGGAAATGAGAGCTCCTGTGACTGCAAATAAAAGCAGATGACAAGAGGTAATCTGTAACCCAGAACAGGAGGTGAGAGCAAAGGCGTGAGGTACGGTGACAGTACCCCCTCCCTCAAGAACGCCCCCTGGCATTCCCTCAAGACTAACAATAGACCTGATGAAACTGATCAATGAGAGAGCTGTTCAGAATATCCAGAGCCAGAATCTAACACCTCTCCTCTGAAGAGAAGTACCCAGAAGACCAACTTCTTCCGACAAAATTCAGAAGTGAGCAACGGATTTACCTTATGCTATTCCATGAAGCCCCATTGACAGAATTCATGAATGGGAGTAAAGTGACGCAACTTTTTTGCAAATGTAGTACGTCCGAGTTCCATTCATACTGCTTACATTCAAACTGTATAGAACATAGTTTTTAAAAGACTGAGTAGTAGATTTAAATTCAAACGCGGTACCTACTGACTAGTAGGCGGTTTCAGATACAGCCTATGTGTTTCTTAAGCTGTGCAGAGTGAGCGAAACTCTGTAGACTCTGATCATGTCTATGGTTTCTCATGTGTTTTAAGGGTTCCTGAGTGACTAAACCTCTTATTACAGTGTGAACACTTGTACTTTTTTTTTTCCAGCATGAATCCTCTGGTGCCGTTTTAATTCTCCAGTTGTAATAAAAGTCTTCTCACACTCCAAGCACTTTCTCACATCAGAGTGGATCTTCATGTGTCGATTAAGGTTTGATGATTTGCTGAAACTCCTCCCACACCGAGTGCATGTGAATGGTTTCTCTCCAGTGTGGATCCTCATGTGTTTAATAAGGTGTGATGATTGGCTGAAACTCTTCCCACACTGAGTGCATGTGAATGGTTTCTCTCCAGTGTGGACCCGCATGTGTGTATAAAGTAGTGATGATTTGCTGAAACTCTTCCTACATTGAGTGCATGTGAATGGTTTCTCTCCAGTGTGGATCTTCATGTGTTGATTAAGGGTTGATGAGTGGCTGAAACTCTTCCCACATGGAGTGCATGTGTATGGTTTCTCTCCAGTGTGGATCCTCATGTGATTTTTAAGGTTGGATAATTGGCTGAAACTCTTCCCACATTGAGTGCACGTGAATGAGTTCTTTCCAGTGTGGATCATCATGTGTCGAGTAACGTGTGATGATTGTTTGAAACTCTTCCCACACTGAGTGCAGGTGAATGGTTTCTCTCCAGTGTGGATCCTCATGTGAATCTCAAGCCTGCTTCTGCTGGCCCAACACTTTCCACACTGGGTGCAGGTAAAATCACTCTTGTCTCTCCTTTTGAAAATACCATCAGTCTGTAAATGAGTTTTGTCCTCAATTTTGACATGGTGTTCCTCTTCTTTATTCTCCTCACACTCTTCAATAAGGTCTGAAATAAAAAAGTTCAGTTTGTAATAAGTCATAGAAACTCTCATCAAAAGCTGCAGTGAAAAGGCACTAAACATTGGCTACACAAACCTTAATTTTGATGCACATTAAATGTAAAAACACAGCAGATCATATTTAGATTATTCTTGTCATATCAACCTCCTGGGGTCGGATTTTTATACGACTGATTTCAAGTCATTTTTGTTCACACTGATGAGACATAAATTTAAAAGCTGTAAATGGGAATGATTTGTCATTCTGTGCATGACTGGTAAATCTGAATCTCTGCGAAAATTTGCCTCACAGACATATCTGCATAAAGCCATAAACCCGCACATTTAAATGACAAATGTTCTCTGGTTTAGTAATCTGCATGTAACGAACGCAATGCAGAATTCTAACACTTAAAGGTTTCAGATCATCAAACAAATTAAAATATTAAAAACACAATTAAACACATTGTACAGTCTTTAAATGAAGGTTTTTATTATTAAAAGGAAGACAAAATACTGAACTACATAGCCCAGTGTGAAAATGTTTTTCCCCATTAAAACAACTTTATCACACCGACTTCAAGTTCTCTAGCCACACTCAGACCTGATTACTGCCACACCTGTTCGCAATCAAGAAATCGCCTAAATAGGACCTGTCTGACAAAGTAGACCAAAAGAGCCTCAAAAACTAGACAACAAGGAGAGAGTCCAATACTAAATCTAAAATCTTGATCAGGCACCACATTGTCTGGTCTCAGGTCCCATTTATGACTGCCTCGATGGGATATACCATAGGAGAACCCATTACAGATAACAGAGCTGATTGATTTGACTATTTGTACTAATATGACTTTAGTAGATGTTCTGAGGACCCTTTACCAAATTTGGGCACAATGTAATAAACCAACAATGGTGCTTTACAAGCCTTTCAACTTAAAACCTAACTAATTGCCTCAATTAAAATTTGCCATGAAGGTAGAGGTATCTTCAAATAGCTTGCCACAGTTTTCTTCGAAACTTTCAAGTGTTTATTGCAACCAAGATAATCAATGGTTTTTAACCCTTATAGCAGATGAATAACTGAAATGTATGATGCCTGTTAATAAACAAAAGCTAGTCATATTTGCAGTACATTGGTGTAAATGGAAAAACTAGTATAAGAAACAGTATTTGTCTTGTAACATTTGATGCATAAATTACTAAGTAGTCTGTTAATGATTTACCCTGATGCATAATGGCCCTCCATGGCAACTGCTCATTGGAAGACAGTGCCATTGTGACGGACCACACAAACTTAAAAACCTAGTGCAACAGTAAATCTTTGCTTTTCGCATTAGCTCCCTCATTCACACTCTGCCCCCTCTCGCCTTGCTCTCAGACACTGCACCGACCCATGATCGAGTCACAAAGAAATTTCCAAGCAACTTTTTAAAGTTTAGGAACCGCCGAACCTGCAAAAAACCTGCTGTAAATAGACTCTCAGCAGAGTCTGTCACCCCAATAACCCAGGACAACTTCCACTCACAAGCAAGTGAATCCCAAGGACGTCACTGAAGCCAAGTCACCAACCAATCAGGAGCCAGCCAGCGAGGGAAACTCAAACAAATGATAAGCCAAATCTCTGCTTTTGTGGTTTCTAAGGTGTGATTCTGAGATCTAGTAAAAAGTGCTAGAATTAATTTGGGATGGTTGTCAAATCATTTTGCACAAGCACCAGAATTGAGAACCACTGCTGTGAGGTACTCAAAATGAATTGCCTTCCTAAAGATACTTCTCTACTTTAGTTTACCCCTGTAAATATTTATTTTATGTAAAATATTTAAAACAGTTTGACAACTTAGTCAATTCATTTCTCTGGAACAATAAGCACCCTAGGTTGCATAGGAGTAAATTGCATAGGAGCATGAATTGAGACGGTTTGCTGCTGAGTGTGACGTGGCAGGGAAAGAAACAGCAGTCAGAAAGTCAGAAACCATGGTGCTTGACTGAAAAAAGGTGGCCATCTCCAGTTTGAAGGAGAGACCTACCCCAAAGTTCAAGTATCTGCAGGGTTTTTTTCTTCATGAGGATGGAATGTGAAATTAAAACACTGATCAGTGCAGTGGCAGCGGTAATGCAGTTAATGTGATTGTCTGTTGTGGGAAAGGAGCCTAGATGAAAGGCAATGTTCTCAATTTACCGCTCATATAGGTTCCTACTCTAATATATGGTCATGACTGACAGGACAAGATCTCGGATACAACCGGACACATTTTACAAAAGTGTTATGACCCGCTTGTTTGAGTCGCAACATAAAAGAGAGATCAACCAACAAAATAGCCTGAATGCAAATTATTTATTATAAAATGTAAATCATAGAACAATCAAACAAAACAACCAACAGATGTCTAGGGATAATGAAGATAAAGAACTTAGGGTATAATCACAACAACACTTAAACTACATGATACAAGTAATGCAAAACAAAACCATGAGGTTAAAGAGTCAATGAGATGGCAGGTCTTGACATGAGGACTCCTGAGTAGTCACAGTGTCCTGGGGTAGTACAACAACTCTTATATACCCTTTGATGAGTAATGCAGGCATCCAATCAGGATCTACCACATGCTCCAATCTGGAGTCTTGGGATCATCACAGTGTATTAATATTGTAAAACTTATACCTGTCGCTCTGCCTAAATCACAAAATATTCATCAAGTTTGTATTCTACTCACAAAAAGTAAATGTAGTAAAGTAGAAATAATCTTCAACCTGAAAGTAAAGAAACTTTAAAAATGCAACACAGGACAATTGAATGGGCTTTCTAAACTTGAGGCCCTGGTATACTGCAAACTAACTGTCCTGGAGCTCCACCTTTATTGATGTGCAGTGTCTTCCCAGTGATTTGTTTCTCATTCAGGGAGTCAGACAGAGAACATCATCTAAAACAACAACACTAGCCACATGAACACACTGGAGAGTGGAGTACAGATGTATCCGCACCTGTACCATCACTTCCAAAGCGGTGCAGTTTCAATTTAGAGCTGTAATAAGTCTTCTCACACTCAGAGCACATATACTCTCACACCAGTGCATGTGCGTATGATTAGATGTCTATGGGGAGAAAAGTCTAGTGTGACCGCAGCTTGTAGTGCAAGTGAATGGTTTCTCTCCAGTGCAGTTCATAATGTGTAGATTAAGGGATGATGATTGGCTTTTCTCCAGTGTGGATTTTTTTGTGCCTACTAAGGGCTGATATTTGGCTGAAACTCTTCCCACACTGAGTGCATGTGAATGGTTTCTCTCCAGTGTGGCTCCTCATGTGTTGATTACAATTTGATGAACAGCCGAAAGTCTTCCCACAATGGATGCATGTGAATGGTTTCTCTCCAGTGTGGATTTTTTCATGCCTACTAAGGGCATATATTTGGCTGAAACTCTTTGTACACTGAGTGCATGTGAACGGTTTCTCGCCAGTGTGGATCCTCATGTGTTGATTAAGGTGTGATGATTGGCTGAAACTCCTCTCACACTGAGTGCATGTGAATGGTTTCTCCCCAGTGTGGATTTTTTTGTGTTTATTAAGGGCTGATATTTGACTAAAACTCTTCCCACACTGAGTGCAGGTGAATGGTTTCTCTCCAGTGTGAGTAATCATGTGAATATTAAGGTTTGATGATTGGTTGAAACTTTTCCCACATTGAGTGCATGTGTATGGTTTCTCTCCAGTGTGGATCCTCATGTGTTGATTAAGGTGCGTTAAGCAGGTGAAACTCTTCCCACACTGAGTGCAGCTGAATGGTTTCTCTCCAGTGTGGATCCTCATGTGTTGAATAAGGTGTGATGATTTGCGGAAACTCTTCTCACACTGAGTGCACGTGTATGGTTTCTCTCCATTGTGGATCCTCATGTGTTGATTAAGGTGTGATGACATTATGAAACTCCTCCCACACTGAGTGCATAAGAAAGGTTTCTCTCCAGTGTGCACTTTTTTGTGTCTACTAAGGGCATACATTTGGCTGAAACTCATTCCACATTGAGTGCACGTGAATGGTTTCTCCCCAGTATGGATGTTCATGTGTTGATTAAGTTGTGATAATAGTATGTAGCTCTTCCCACACTGAGTGCATGTGTATGGTTTCTCTCCAGTGTGGATCTTCATGTGTAGTTTAAGGTTTGATGATTGGCTAAAACTCTTCCCACACTGGGTGCAGGTGTATGGTTTCTCTCCAGTGTGGATTTTTTTGTGTTTACTAAAAGTTGATATTTGGCTGAAACTCTTCCAACACTGGGTGCACGTGAATGGTTTCTCTCCAGTGTGGATCCTCATGTGAATCTTAAGGCTGCCTTTTCTTCCAAAACTCTTTCCACACTGGGTACAGATGAAACGATTCTTGTCTCTCCTTTTCAAAATATCATCAGTCTGTAAATGAGTTTTGTCCTCAATTTTGACATGATGTTCCTCCTTTTTAATCTCCTCATACTCTTCAATTAGGTCTGAAATAAAACAAACATTAGTTTAAGTCTTAAAATCTCTCTAAAGCTGTAAAGTGAAAAGACACTGGAAACATTGGCTACACACACTGTAATTTAGATGCACATTAATGTAAAATAAATCAGATTATATTTAGTTTAGTCCATTAAAATATACACATTTATGCAGATTCAATTCAACTGATATTAGTGCTTTTACAATGTAAATTGTGTCAAAGCCGCTTAACGTAGAAGTAAATCGAATCGTGTCAGTCCAGTTTTCAGAGTTTATGATCATAATTGATTATGAAAGTCATCTTGATCACATTGAGACAGATTTGAAAACTGTAAATAGCCTATTTTTATTCTTATACATTCATAATTAAAACAAAAGAAGTCACGTGATGCAGGCGTTGGGGATAGACGTGCTGTAGCGAGCTCCACTGACTAGCTATAATATTAACAGAAAATCCTGCTTTAATTTGTCTTACAGATAGAATATCGACTTCATCAACACATCGAAAAGTCAATATTGTTTATGGTGGAACACATTCTGCATCAAAAAGGACGTAAATCTCGACCAGTTTCTAGCATAGCCGAAACGAGCGATCTCGACATGCTGGACAACATGACAGAGGAAATGAAATTGATTGATTGATTGATTGTTTTTGACAATTTTAACAAAACATACAGATTAGTTTGACTAATTCATACATATTTTAAAAACTGTCGAGGATAAAATACACAAAAACGCCACAGGCTTATTTCCATTGTGGTGCTCGATATTCTTAAAAAAAATGAATGATCAAATCATAAATGGAGTGCAAACATCATCAGCCGTTATATTCATGGCTGCTTTTGCTCTATTGACTTCCATTATAACCACATTTTTTAATTGAAAAGCTACAACAGCATATAATCAAGCAGTTATGATATTTGGTGTTTTCCCTGTTGGGAAGAGGTCAAATTTGTGATCATCAGTTACAGTGCAAATAAAGCAGAGTTTCTGCCTTCTATATGGAGTACAGTGTGTGTGGGAGTGAGAGAGAGAGTCAGACAGACCTTACCTTAAAAAATAATCATCTCTGCTCTCAGAACACTGTAAACAGTAAGTTGATGGCGTGGGTTTTCTGATGGATGTCCGCTCCAGGATGGAGGAACACGTGTAAATTCTCCTGTCGTTATGATTATTAATAAAGTTGATTGTTTAAGTGCCTTGATTAATCGTTTTAGATTAAACACCAAATCAATCGGTCTGAGATCGCCTGAATAGGGTGGTCTCGGCTCCATTGAAAAATCGATTGAAAAAGCAAAATGATCCAACAAATAAACAGGCTAGGCTATATCACAGTGTATTATGGTTGTGTAATTGCCACATATACGGCAATATGAAGAGAGAACGATGAGTAGAGCAGGATGTCAATCCTACTGGTGAACTTGTGATTCATGTCAAATACGAAAGCATGCTGAAATATCACCGAGAGCTGTTTATCTGTTAGGAAGATCGACTAAAATTACCATCCGGTCATTTTTCCTTATTTTAATAATATAATATTTAGTATTGGGCCTGTTGTTCTGTTTCAGACTGCAGTCTCGCTTCATCTGTTAATACAACTGAAATGAGGCTATGAGAAAGTCTTACCGCTCAGATTTATGTTTGGTGACTGTCTGTGGGTGTCAAAATTAAAAAGTACACATTTTTGCACATGTTAGATAGATAGATAGATAGATAGATAGATAGATAGATAGATAGATAGATAGATAGATAGATAGATAGATAGATAGATAGATAGATAGCTTCACCATAATGTTTTTTTATTGCCTATTTTGTTTAACAAACCTCCTTTCACTGAGCATTTGATCAGAACATGGAAATAAAAGACAACTGAGCTTCAGTCCCTATTGTTGACCTTGTGAACAGAAAGTGTGTTTATTTCTCTCTGTCTTTATAGAAAATCATTTGTTTCTGTACAGTAAATCAGATCAACTGTTCAAAGCTTTTCCTCATGATTGTTCTTCAGGCTGATTAATGAAGTATCAGGAATAAACACCAACCTATTTGTTGTTCAGTGTCTTCATGTTTAATTCTGCAGGGTTCTGGATCACTCATGTTCTCGCTGTCCTTCAATAAACTCTTCACTGGAGCCTGATGGGAATATCACAGTGTTTACAGCTGAACTGGAGGAGGAGGAGCTTCACTGGAGGAGGAGGAGCTTCACTGGAGGAGGAGACAATTATTCTAATTAACATTCTGTTCACTTATATTTATATTTTAATGCCATATCAGCAGCACTGGCTATATTCATGACAACACTTGTATTAAATATTCAATATATAATTGATGATCATAACTGTTTCTGAAACATCATTAATTGGTTAAAAACACACAAATAACAGCAACACTGATAAAGTCTTATAAGCTCTTTCAGTCTGATCAATGATCAATATTGTAAAATTCCTCCAGAAAACACATTTTTAAACATTTGCCTTCAAATATTTCCTGAATAAAAACATTCTCTAATATCATTTACAAATATACACTCTATTAAAATATGTTTCACCATCAAAATATTCTCACACAAGTTACACATAGGTTTCTCTTCCCTGTTCAGTAAATATGTGTGTAAGTGTTGAGTGGCCGATTCTACATCTCATGTGTGCAGCGTGATCATGTCTCTGATTGCCTACAGTTATCTCTCAATACTTTAATACACTAATTATTAAGTGTTTTATACTATTATACTAATCCCACATTCTGTTTTACTGCTAAAAAAAATGTTTGCGTCCCTTCAGAGGTTTACAGAAGAATATTTTAAGCTAAAAGATCCATATTAAACAACTTAGTGAAGGAATGAGATGGAGACACAAATGAAAGGTGCCCAGATACAGGGTTACTGCAGGTTTCAGCAAGTTAAATTTAAGATGTTTAAAGACCATTGTGAATTAAATTTAAGACCCATAAAGGGCTAAAGGCTAATGAATATTTCAAATGGCTCAGATGGAAAACATTTTTATTTGCCCTTTCCAAAAAAAATATAAATTTAATAATACAATAATACATTAATAATTAAAACATTTAATATTTTAGATTTTATTTCTTAACTAAATATTTAATTATTGTGTAAAAACAAGCAAGCTCTACTTGTGTCCATACACTTTTTTCCAACATAAAAACTATAATAAACTAAATATTTGCACAACAATCTGTCCAGGTCGGTGTCTTCAGCAGTAAATACATGGAGAACTTTTACACAAATGTTACTGTAAGGAAAATAATTAAACCATTATGATAAATAGAGTTAAAATGACCTTTTTAATAAAAAGTGTAAAGTTTTATTGAGATGATTGTTGGTGATTGTTTGGGTTTTGGCCAGATTTGGTAGCAATACATGAACAAAGGAAGTTTAAGACCTTTTTAAATAGATTTAAGACCTACAACGCAATATTTCATTATATTTTTTTATTTTAACAGACTTTTTAAGGCCTAAACTTTGGGTTTTGAGATGTAAGACATGTGAAGACCCTGCAGAAACCCTGCAGATAACCCGTGAGTAACGCATTACAGAAGTGTTTACAGCCTAGCATCGAGCTAAAAACAAGAGACTATATTAGCATTGAGCACATATGTTAAAGCAGTTCAACCCGCAAGATAATTGCAGCAAATCTGCGAACGCTACAAAGGTCAGATATAATACACTTACTTTGAATAGACGCACAACACCCGAAACAGAAGTGCAGTTAAAGCAATTCAACAGCAAACAGCAAAGCTCTGCACTCTCCGCCTCACACTGAGCGCCGTGGGCGGGAGATTTGCCTGCACGCTCACCAGAGAAAGCTGATTGGCTGCCCGTAGGAGCTCAGCGAAAGCTGATTGGCTGCCTGTAAGCGCTCAGCGAAAGCTGATTGGCTACTTGTTTGTCAATCAGTCTCGACAGCAGAGGGGAACATTTGTGTTCAGAAGATTAATTCTTCTTCAGTCTCTTCAGAGGAATATAACATTGTTTCTGTGCAATCCCTGATTGTATAACACCTTCAGTCAAGTCATGGCCATAAAGTTTTATTTAGACTATTTTATATTTGACTGCACAAATCCCTCAATTCTCAATTATTAATAGATTCTCAATGATTAATAGATGTCAGATTTCTTTACCTATTTGTGTGAGTTTTTGGAATAATATATTTGTGGTGTAGTGTTATATGTCCTCATAATGTAATTGCGTATTGACTCCACTAGAGGGCCTTCTTGGTTTAACTACTGGAGTTCTACAGAGTCAGAGTCAGTGAGGGAGCCTGAAGCACATGAGGTGGTTAGCAGTTGGAGCTGCTCGTCTTCTGTTAATAAATGTGTTTTCTGAGTTGTACCTCTCCATGTACGCAGTCTAACACACTGCACAAGAAGCAAACACTACAATATTTAAGTGACAGAATGGTTCGAGTTTGATAAACTCTTATATAATAAAGTTGGTGACGTCTCTACTCATAACTGCTCTCCACTAAATCACAAACCTGCTCAATCTAATAATATTATTTCCCCAAATGCTCTTTCTGTATTCAGTCTGTAGAAATATAAAGTCATTTGCTTTGGGACTTAATATCAAGTGTTTTGCCTTGACTTTTCCAGTTCTCCTAAAAATGCTTTTATCCAAACTTTTATTTCCGCTAAAATTGTATTTTTAGTTACTTGTAGAAACTAAACCAAGGGCGTAGATTTGCACTCGAATTTGGTGGGGACAGGGGAATCAAATGAATCAATAAGAAAAATATATATAAATATATGTGTGTGTGTGTGTGTGTGTGTGTGTGTGTGTGTGTGTGTGTGTGTGTGTGTGTGTGTGTGTGATAAATGATTTAACTGCTCCTAAAATATATTATAATTTTAATCCTCTCTTCATACATTTTAATATATTAAGTTAAAATTAAATAGCCCGGCCCGTAGCCAAGGGGGTTTTGGGTGGTTCAAAATGTCAAAAGTTGGATTATTATTATTATTATTTTGTTAGAATTTTTCTTATTATTCAACTGGACAAATTCTGACTGTGGAAAGTTGAACGTACTGGCCGGTTTGTTATTTGACTGTCAACAAGTTTGAATAGACTTCTCTTAATAAATAATGATAGATAATAATAAATTTTTATTTTAAAAAATAAGTATCTTTTCTTTATTGTAAATTTTCATTTTTTTATAAAGCTGATGTAAAATTTACAGTTGTTTCTGCTGTTCTGCGGTTAGTTTCCAGGGCATATTATTCACAGATTATATCTGTCTGCTATAACGTATGACTGTGTGGGAAAGTGGGAGAAACACTAGCTTTATCGGCATTGTCATGATGGACTCATTCAGTAGCAAACTTGAATTTAGGTGACAAACCTTTCATTGAAAAAAGCTTCGTATCTCCACCTTTTTGCTGCTGCCACCCTCACTTGTGTGTCCCACATCTCACACACCTTATTCTTGCACAGGAAATACTCATGCACAGCTTTTGGTGCAGCCACAGCCTCTCACATGAGAGCAGGAAAAGGCACAGCCAATCACAATGTGTTTGGAGGGCTGGTGTGACTCAAGGAGAGTCATGATTTAGCCTTTACGGCATGTCCAGGTTAATATGGACAGCACAACTTTTAAGTAAATTAAATTATTGGTGGGGACATTTAAAAAGTAGGTGGACGTTGGTGTCCCCCCAGTCTATGTTAAATCTATGCTAGTTCCTCTATACCCTTCTTAATATAAATTTAGTTATTTATTGATTTTTATTGCTACATTTGGCATCCAGAGATTTTGATATGCATGTAAACACTAATAATTATTGCATCAAAGACTCTTGCTTGGTGAGTCTGATAAACTTACATTAGATGCAAAGATTTAAGTTTTGTAACATAACTTTGTAATTGTACCAAATAACTGACGTGAAACACCTATTGTTCAACAAACAATCGTTTTCAAAACATTCATTCATTCTGTGTATCACGTACTGTATCTTGGTAACAAGCGACACTGAGTCAGGGCAATCACAGTGATAAAACAGCTCTCTTTCAAAAATAGTTTCTGCAGACAACATGTTATGTTCTGAACGTTTATCATATTTTTGCGGCAGATGGACGTGAGTCGCTTTCTGTATGTCCAAAACCAAATAATTCGTTAGAAAAAGCAGAATGACCACAATGTGCGAACGTCTTTCCATTTTGGTGCTTTGCTTTCGTGTCTTCCCTTCGCATACTTGGGTGAGTTTTCCTTTTTGCAAGAGCATAGAGACAGAAAAGATTAACCAAAAACCTCTTCTCACCATCTCTCCAAGCATGGTAAAACTCTTCTCAATAAGAGGAGCTACCACTGCGCCATCTCAAATGATATAAATGGAAATACAGAAATAGGGGCTGGTTATGAAATTGGAAAGAGGGCTCAGCTTACGCCAGGTGAGAAAAGTCACGTTCTAGCAGGGTTTGAACATCTTAAACTGTCTAACCCAAATAAGGCGACATGGGATGAAATAGAGGCTGTGGCTTGACAACAAAATTTGACAATTGCTAAAGTTCAATCAATAGTATAGAGTTTAGTCTGTATCCAAATTACCTTAAATCCAATTGATACAGTTTGACCCCGGAGTTTGGTATTGTGATGCATACAGAGAATACAAAGATCATGTTTAAGAGGTATTGGGAAAAGGAGCCTTTGGCTGGATTTGTGTTACCCAGGTTAAGCAAAAACCAGGATCTCTAGAATATCTTGATTGTTTTTGCACAGCATTTGAAAACTCACTGTGCTGTAAATAACTATCCTCCAACTGGACTAGAAATAGCCACCTTCCCTCAAACGGACTTGGTTGTTCCAGAGACTCACCATCCTCTAACTGGACGTGGTTATTTCAGATATACACCATCCCCCAACTGGACATAGTTGTTCCAGAGACCCACCCATCACCCAACTGGAATGGGTTGTTACAGAGACCCACCATCCCCCCAACAAGACCAACCACCCCGCAACTGGACTTCATTGTTCCAGAGACCCACCATCCGACACCTGGACTAGAAAGAGCCACCATCACCCAACTGGAATGGGTTGTTACAGAGACCCACCATCCCCCAACTGGATTTCATTGTTCCAGAGACCCACCATCCGACACCTGGACTACAAAGAGCCACCATCGCCCAAACTGACTTAGTTGTTTCAGAGACCCACCATTTCCCAACTAGACTTGGTTGTTTCAGAGACCCATCAATCCCCAACTAGACTTGGCTGTTTCAGAAACCCACCATTCGACACCTGGACTAGAAAGAGCCACCATCGCCCAAACTGACTTGGTTGTTTCAGAGACCCACCATTCCCCAACTGGACAAACTTGTTCCAGAGACCCGCCATCCCCCAAATGGACTTAGTTGTTCTAGAGACCCACCATCACCTAACTAATATGGGTTGTTTCAGAGACCAAGCATCCCCCCGCTGGACTTCGGCATTTTCCAACTAGACTTGGCTGTTTAGAAGACCCACCATTCCCCAATTAGACTTAATTGTTTCAGAGGCTCACCATGCCCCAACTAGAGTTAATTGTTTGAGAGGCCCACCGTTACCCAACTGTAGTGGGTTGTTTCAGAGACCCACCATCCCCCAACTGGAATGGGTTGTTCCAGAGAACCACCATCCGACACCTGGACTAGAAAGAGCCACCATCCCCTAAACTGACGTGGTTGTTACAGAGACCCACCATCCCCCAACTGGACTTCATTGTTCCAGAGACCCACCATCTGACACCTGGACTACAAAGAGCCACCATCGCCCAAACTGACTTAGTTGTTCCAGAGACCCACCATCACCCAACTAAAATGGGTTGTTTCAGAGACCCATCATACCCCCGCTGGACTTCGGCATTATCCAACTAGACTTGGCTGTTTAGAAGACCCACCATTTCCCAATTAGACTAAATTGTTTCAGAGGCCCACCATGCCCCAACTAGAGTTAATTGTTTCAGAGGCCCACCATACCCCAACTGGACAAACTTGTTCCAGAAACCCGCCATCGCCCAACTGGACTTTGTTGTTCCAAAGACCCACCATCCTCCAACTAGACATGTTTGTTCCAGAGACCCACCATCCTCCAGCTGGATGTGGTTGTTCCAGAGACCCACCGTGACCCAAGAGGAATGGGTTGTTTCAGAGACCCGCCATCCCTCAAATGGACTTAGTTGTTCCAGAGACCCACCATCACCCAACTAAAATGGGTTGTTTCAGAGACCCACCATCCCCCCGTTGGACTTCGGCATTACCCAACTAGATATGGCTGTTTAGAAGACCCACCATCCTCCAACTGGACATGGACAATCCTCGAACTGGTCATGAGTTTTCCAGAGACCCGCCATCGCCCAAGAGGAATGTGTTGTTTCAGAGACCCACCATCCCCCAACTGGACAACCTGTTCCAGAGACCCACCAACCCCCAAATGGACTTTGTTGTTCCAAAGACCCACCATCCCCCAACTGCACTTAGCTGTTCCAGAGACCCAGCATCCGACACCTTAATAGAAAGAGCCACCATGGCCCAAACTGACTTGGTTTTTTCAGAGACCCACCATTCCCCAACTAGACTTAATTGTTCCTGAGGCACACCATGCCCCAACTGGACAAACTTGTTCCAGAGACCCGCCATCCCCCAACTGGACTTTGTTGTTTCAAAGACCCACCATCCTCCAACTAGACAAACTTGTCCCAGAGACCCACCATCCTCCAACTGGACGTGAGTGTTCCAGAGACTCACCATCACCCAACAGGAATGGGTTGTTTCAGAGACCCACCATCCCCCAACT